GGGGGGGCTTGATCTTCCTTTTGAAAGTGCTTTAAGTATCAGTTTAATATGACACAAGAAAAGTAGTTTCTTGTAATATTTTTTAAACTATTATGAAAAATTTCTGTCTCAAAATAGTTGGTTTGTTTGAACCAAGATCATGAGGTACATATTTGATTATGTCTCCTAAGACTCTTAATCTTTAATAATTCATCTTCCCCCCTGCACCCTGGATTCTATTTAATCTGCTGGGGAAATTAGGTTATTTGTCCTGTGGAAGTTAATTACTTCCTCTTGGTGTATATTTTTAAACTTATTTCCCTATGCTCTGTATTTCCTGTTAAACTGTTGATTAGATCTAAGGCTTAATGAGATTTTAGTTGAATGTGGAGGATCACAATACTTCATAGAAAGTGCTGTGTAGTTACTATTGCATTATATCAAGAGGTGCTTCAAGTCTGGTTGTCTCACTCTTTTAATGGTGCTAGGATTGATTGGGAAGTTCAAATAGTATCAGCGTGATTTCCCTCATTATAAAGTTCAACAGCTTTTTAAAAGGTAAATGTTGTATGCCTAGCTCTATCAATAAACAGTCAAATCTTGAAATCTTGCCCAGGGGTAGCAATCTTCATAATAATATTTGGTTAATTTTCTTAACGTAGAACTGTTGTTGGAAGGTCCATGTGAAAAAGTATTATGGGAAAAATATTTTTACAAAGAAATTAATGTCAAAAATTGCAAAATACAAATAAAACTCAGTCACCCAAGAAATTATTGCCATGATTGGGAATCAAGTAGATAAATTTAGGAGGTCTTGGTTAGAAAGGTATAAGGAAATATCAAAAAGGAGTAGTAGGGCCCTAGCCCGTTTACTCAGTGCTTAGAGCCTCGGCCCATGGTCTGAAGGGTCCCAGTTCAATTCTGGGCACTTACCTCGTTTGCAGGCTCTATCCCAGGTCCCACCAGGCATCTCTCTCACATCACGTCTCTCTCTCCCTCCCTCCCACTCTTTCTTAAAAGCAACGGGAAAAATATCCTCCAGTGAGGATGGAAAAAAAAAAAAAATAGTAGTAATAGGGCCCCTGGCCAGGTAGCTTGTTTGGTCCCAATGCAAAGGTTTTGGGTGGCATCACCCCTCAGGGCACATGCAAGAAGCAACCAATGAGGGCGTAAGTGGGTGGAACAAGTCCACGTGTCTCGGTCTGTCTCTCTCTCTCTCCCCTCCTCCCCCTTCATCTCTCTCTCAAATCACTTTTTTTTAAGGAGTAGTACTTAGCTAAGCATTTTGAAAAAGTAAAATTGCCACGACTGTCCCTGGGAGGCGGGGGTTGAGGCAGAGAGGAGAGGCAAGGAGCTGTGACTTTCATTATCGCCCCGTCTGTGCAGGTATTGCTTCCACAGCGCTGCAAAGCGCCAATGTTGGAAAAAGGCAATCGAGCTGCAAAGATCCCACAGTAAAAGCCCGCTAATTATATCTGTTTCCGTTTTTCTTCTGTGCCATCAGAATCCACTTGGAAAATACATAAAGGGGCTAGGGTCAACGAAGGCTCAGGGGGCGACTGAAAGTCTTCAAAAGGACGGACGCGTTAGAAAGGCTTCCCAAGTTTGGAGGTCAGCGCTGGGAGCTAGGTGGCGCCGCGCGGAGAGCCGGAGCGCGCGCCGCCTCTAGGCCAGGCCCCGCGGGAAATAAAGCCGCGCTGGGGGCGGGGCCCAGCGACGTCACGGAGGCCCCGCCCCCTTACGCTGCGCACCAGGGGGGCCAGGAGGTTTCTGGCGGCGCCGGCGCCATCTTGTAGGAACCTGCGAGCGAGTGGGAGTGGAGCGGGGCGGCCGTTGTTGCCGACTCTTTCCTTCTCGCCACGCTCGGGTCCGCGGGTTGACTAGGCCATCGGTCCTCAAGGCGAAACTTGTCTCTTATTTAGTTCTGGGGAGCGCCTGGCCGACATGAGTGATGTAGAGGAGAACAACTTCGAGGGCAGAGTGAGTACAAAGCCGCGGGAGCCGTCTTCGGCGACGGCCCGATGCTCGGGGTTTCACCGGGGAGAGCGCGGTCGCGGGGAGTCCTGCGGGGGTCCGCGGGGAGCAGCCTCTGGAGCCATCGCTGTGGCTTCCTCACATCCCAAGATGGCTTCTGGGTTCCACTCCTGTCCTAAATACCACGGGTAACCCCGGCCCCCTTTTTTGGAGACCGACTGGGACCTGGACTCCTGGGTCCGGTCTCCCCCTCCCCCCCCCGCAGTGCGTCCTCCTTTCTCGCCACCCCTGAGGTGTGGGTCCCGGTCGCGGTGGGGCGGGAGGAGACGGCGGGGAGTTCCCCTCCGGCCGGATAGTGGTAGGTGCTTCCTACGGTGGCATTTCTGGCGACCCCGAGCATCGTAGAGGGTCTCGGGGTCGCGAGTGCGCGGGGCTGTCGTCCGGGCGGGGAGCAGCTGGCTTGGGACTAGCTGGGGCCTGTGTCTCCTTGGCTCTCTATTGCAGTGAGCGGCCGCGTCTCTGTTGGAACCGGCGGCGTTGCGTCTATAAAGGCGAAAGCCTTGAGGTTGGAGGTGGGACGAGCCCAATGAAGTGGTTAGTCAACGACCGCAACGACCCTTAAGCGTTCTTAAGACGGGAGCTGTGAGGGGAAAACCACGCAAGGAGCCCTTTTTTCCCTTAATGTCCCTTCTGCTTTCCTTTCATTTCAGAATGAATGTGGAAATGCTGTAACGCCTTGTTTTTCTGATTCCATGCTGTTGGGTGGTTGTTGTTTTTCCTCTTCATTGTATCTCAACTTCTAATGCTTTTCCTCCCGTGACCTTTCATCTAGAAATTGACCACTCCTTTACAGGCTTTTACAGTTTAAAAAAAAAAAAAAAAAGTGGGGGGAATCTTCTGCCTTAATCTTACATAACTGAGCAGATTTCATGGCTCAGTATTTTAAAAATAACTATAGTCAGTTTATGCCATTCACTAACTCAAAACGTTAGCTACAACTTAACAGGCCCTCTCCCATTTCTCAGCCAGCAAAGAGGGCTCAAAGGTTTTCATTATTTGGGATCGATAAATATATAAACATCACAAAGATATGTTATCCTAAGCTTAAATATACCAGAACGTTTATCGGTGTTTGAGTTATATCTCCAAAGTGATCCTCGTGGTGGAAATTGGTGGGAGTTAGCGTGCAACCCTGGAAGCAGAATCCCCAGGCAACGTGGTGTGTTGTATTCTAGTCGCTAGGGGAAACGCATAAAAACACTCAAGGTGTGTGCTGGAGGGAATGAAGTTTGTCTTTTAGAGCTCATAGTATAAACCCCTGGAACCAGACAGTTAAATCAGGTCGATTTAGGCTTTTGTTCTTTTTGAGGAAAGAGATTTAAATCGATTATAAACAAAAAGTCTACTTTTAATTCCTTTAAGATTGGATTTTTTAATCATATAATCTGGAGCACAGATATAAATGAGTAGTTGAACCTGCTTGTTTTTTAGGATGGCATTTTGCTTGTCCCAGCAAACTTTAAAAATCATGTAATAACATTTGGTGGTAGTTGTAAGCTGCTGCTTGTTTTGAAAATGTTAGGTAGTTATGGGAAGGAATTCTGCTGTCCATTAATCTTCTCTTCGATTACTTTAGTACAAGAAATTTCTTTTTGTTAATGTTTGTTTTGATTTGGTTTGTGGGGACTGAAGAGGACTTACTATTTGGGACCTTGTTTCCCTTAAGTTCTTATTTTTTCATTGGTCAAGTCGAGAAATGGAGCAAGTTTAAGATAATTGTCGTCTTACCCACTTAATATATGTAAGATTCCTACCCAATTTTAAGCTAAAATGTATGTAGACATTAATTTATTTTAATAGAAAAAGGGTTTTTTCCCTCCCCCCCACCCCTTATAGTGTTTGTGGTCATGGAAAATATTTTTTCATACATGATACCCAAGTATTTTAGTGGGAGTGAACTCTCATTGAATGAATATGTCCATGCTCACCTGTTACTGTTTTTTTTTTTTTT